TGTACCGCATGCAATTATCAATGTATTGATAATTTTATATGGAATATAAATATGGAAATACATATTTCCTTTACAATATTATAATAACATGATCAGAACATTTATGGTAAATGGAAACGTAACAGACAAGAATAAAAAACGTATGCGAAACTAATCTATTGACTATACTTATTCCATAGATTTTTATTTGATTCAAGCATTAATAATAAAAATTATATCAATATATATAGCAAGAAACAAAAAAAACGTATCTCAAACTCGATCAACTTCGTAACATCTGCGTTGTTTCTGTAAAAAAAGAAAAATAGCACCAAGTTATACAGTAATATAGTAACAATAACAAACTTCAATACTACTAAAAATAATTGTTAATAAACTAATGTTACAGTAATTTAAATGACAAATTGGCTGTTTTTTCCTGATACAATGTAAATAAATAAAAATAATAATATATAATAATAATATATAACATCATATCATATTTTAGTATTTATTTTATTTGCTGTATTTGTTATGTAGTAGAAAGCGTAGGATTCATAACAAACCGAAAATAAAAACCGTCCGATAATATTGATAGTTTAGTAATAACAGTATTAATTTCATTTGCTTTTAAGTAGCCTGTTGTTACTTATTAGAAATAAAAAAAGTATGATAAACCGATTGACGAACTTGCAATGATAATTAGGCCTAGTTATATTAAATTTAGCGTTTCGCAACTCCATTGGCGCTCCATATATTTGTTGAAAACAAACCGCGACCGAAATGAAGCGCGACCGAAACGAAGCGCGACCGAAACGAAGCGCGACCGAAATGATCTGTATTCGGTAAATGAGCCCCAGCCATACTTTAAAGAAATTTAATTGCCCGGATGATTCTTCAAAAACAAGCTAGGCCTAGTCCAGGGCATAGGCTAGGCCTTAATAGGACTAAGCTTAGCTCAAATTCAACGAAAAATAGCTAGGAAAATATCTAGGCCACACTGCATAATACATTGGTTATTGAATATTGTGAAGGAATGGACCACCGGGATAAGGCCTAGGAAGGATAAACATAATAAAACCAAATTACAGTATACCCTTCATATGCAGCATTACCTAGTAAAAGAATCAGACATCCTTTCTCCTTGTAAAATAGGCATACAAAAACAGAAAATTCGTTAAAAGTCTACGCCTAGCTTCAGAGAGACGAAGACCAGACAGGCACGTGTCTCGTGTCGTTTTTCTTGTTGGCACTGGCAGCAAAGATAATAGATAAAGCAGCTTCGCAATAATATAGTGGAACATCCGTTCCAAAGGCATTGTGGGTACACAGAGAGCAATTTTACCCCATCCGCCCGGCGGCGCTATATACAGTAGAAATAATAAACAGCAGATAATAAAGGCGCCGCTCTGGTTCGTTTGTTTCCTGTAGTTTCTCCACTTGGTAAAATGGTCAAATTTTACCCCATTCTCGGGAGGGCGGATGTTCCATCAATTTTAATGTAAATACGCGGAACAGCTCATTCTTCTGCTAGTGAAGTTCTTTGCTGGCAGCGACCTTTGCATGCTGGCAGTGTGACCAATGCAATTATTAAAACACAAGGACGCATATCTCGCTCGGGACATCAAAGGTTTAACTCTCAGCATCGACATTCTAGGGCCTGTTTCTGCTGCTTTTCCTAAAAATACGGTATTAAGTATACCGTATAAAATACGGTATCTAAAATCTAGTTTCCTGTTTCTGCTAAAAGTACTTCTTGGGTGGTCTTGTTTAAAAGGTCCCCTTTATTACCCAAGCCAAAATGCCTTTCGTGAGAGGGAAGTTTGGATTGACACGTGTAGTGAGTTTTCTTCTCGATAAACATGGTTTCTTTAAAGAACGTTGTAATTTTGGTTTCATCTATTTTGACAAGCTGACAGAAAAATCAAAACACAACACTGCCCCACCATGACAAAAGGAAGCAATGATGTTTGCATTGCTTTGAGTAATTAAGGAATATGGAGCATGTTGATTTTGTCCCCTGCTTCCTTTTCTGGTGGTTTTTACTGTATTTTTAGTCTCTTACTTCCTTTTTGTGTTGCTAATTACTTGTTAATGAGTGGGATTTGAACATACTCAAATATATCAATATGTACAAATTATTGGTTCTTTGATAGTGACTAAAAAAACAACTCGTTTTTGAAAAATTGCCAGTTACTTCCTTTTGTCATGGTGGGGCAGAACGAGTGTCATGCTCTGTTGTCTCTTGACCTCATGTCAGGGGTCATAAAAAATACGGTATTTTTATTGGCAGCAAAAATGGGGTATGAAAAAGACGGTATCTGTTGCAAAATACCGGAATAATTCCACAAAAATAGTGGGGAAAAATACGGTATATTTTTATTAACCCCGTTTCTGCTGCAAAAAAAATACCGTAATTTAAAAATACCGTATACTGTATATTATACGGTATTTTTTTTTTTTGGCAGCGGAAACATGCCCCTAGGCGCACGTGCGTCCCTACACACTGAACGTCACAAAAACCATAGCAACCAGACCATAAACCGTCAGCGTACGTGATGATTTACCCACGCGCGTGTTAGTTGCCATGATAATCGCGCGTCGTGCGGTGATTACAAATGCCTAATGATTTGCATGGGTCACCCGCCAAGTTCTCCCCCGACAGGGGCCTGAAGTCAACGACGAAAAATATGGGTGTGGTCGGGCGACACTCGCTCAAACCTGTCTCTTATACACATCTAGATGTGTATAAGAGACAGGACGCATATCTCGCTCGGGACATCAAAGGTTTAACTCTCAGCATCGACATTCTAGGGCCTGTTTCTGCTGCTTTTCCTAAAAATACGGTATTAAGTATACCGTATAAAATACGGTATCTAAAATCCGCTGAACGCTGAACGTCACAAAAACCATATCAACCAGACCATAAACCGTCAGCGTACGTGATGATTTATCCACGCGCGTGTTAGTTGCCATGATAATCGCGCGTCGTGCGGTGATTACAAATTTGCACTACATTAGACTGAATATATTCTTCATTTCAACATTAATTTAACCGATGTTGTGGTGTATTGTCGTTCATGAGACTCACTTCACAGAAAAAAATTAATTTTCTGTATCTACTCAAATGTTCGTTTTGTGCACCTTAGTTTAACATTGTCAAAATGACAGTTTAATGTTACATAAGAACATGAAATTTTATAAAATCGTAATTTTTCAATTGCTATAACTTTTTATTTTCCTGGTCAATTTTCACAAATCAAATTGCAGTTTATAGAAGCATTTAACAAGCTCCTGGTCAAAAGAAATCAGATGTAACAGACATTGCGAAGTAGTACCCAAAATTTATACTATAGTAACTAACACCATAAAACATATGGCACACCTAGACTAATATTTGACGGCTGTACACGCAACTATCGGATTGTCGATGCCACAGTAAAGTTTTACCTTTGTGTTTGACCAGCGATGCGAATCAAATTATGCTAGGAGAGACCATCCCTACTTTTCCTCCTCCACCTCCAGCAATACAAGCAAATCACGGTCACTGGTTAAAAAGCACCTCAAATAACCATATTTTGCCAGCTGGCGCTCCATGGGTCACCCGCCAAGTTCTCCCCCGACAGGGGCCTGAAGTCAACGACGAAAAATATGGGTGTGGTCGGGCGACACTCGCTCAAACCTCACGAAAGTGTTTCAGGCGCCCCGAAAATATGACAATTTCAAAGGCTTATTTAATCTATTTTAGAGTCTACCAATATGTAAAAAATAGGCCTACTAGTTGTAGGCCTATAGGATATAGGAAGTATAGCTTAATTAAATAAAACATGTGTTACGAATAGTATACAAAGGGTACGGTATGCTTATTCCTTCATGAATAACACGAACACATTATATGATGCAATATGAATAATAATGACTAAAGTCATATTATATTTATACGAGTTGACGGATATTGTGAAATAAATATAAAAAAGACCTAGGCCTAATTAAATAATGTGTTATGAATACACAAGGTATAATATGCTATAATTAGGTATAATAATATTATATTATGGGCACATAAGGATAACAGTTGGTTTTCAAGTTGTTAACCTAGGTTAAACAAGAAATAATAATAATAATAATAATAGGCCCTAATAATAATAATAATAATAATAATAGGCCCTAATAATTTAATTTATCAAATTTTAATAATCAAATTTTTATTAAAGTTTTAATTAAAAGCCCTTGTAATTGTATATCGTTATAATCTATTTTTAATGTCTATTTATTTTGTACAGTTTTTTTATGTCACTACCTCGTCGAAGAACACCGTCATTTCTTTTTGGTGAATGAGCTTTAAATGTATATTTTTAATGTATATTTTTCGTGAATAAATAAAGCTTTTGATTAATTGATTGATTGTCATGATTGATTGTTAGGAATCGATAACATCATCCAGTAATTGAGCATCCATTGCAAAACACTTGGAGTAAAACGAGCCTACATTTACTACCGTACCGTATATCATTTTATAATTCCCTCAAAATAGAAACATTTAATACCACTTTCAACACCGGTCTTTAAACCAACACCCAGCTCCCAGAAGTGGTCTTTAATTGGGTATGCAGTTACTACTTATTTTTACTTGAAAAAAAACAAAACAAAAGTCTGGTTGACGTACTTAGGCCTATATAATATAGTAGCCGTAGCGTTAAAGCGTCTGCATAGACAGTCCCGGGTTATCAGTTTGCGGCAATACACATCTAGATGTGTATAAGAGACAGATGTTGTGGTGTATTGTCGTTCATGAGACTCACTTCGCAGAAAAAAAATTAATAAATTTTCTGTATCTACTCAAATATTCGTTTTGTGCACCTTAGTCCAACATTGTCAAAATTACAGTTTAATGTTACATATAAGAACATGAAATTTTATAAAATTCGTAAATTTTCAATTGCTATTATTTTCATTTTCTTGGTCAATTTTCACAAATCAAATTGTAGTTGATAGAAGCATTTAACAAGCTCGCAGTCAAAAGAAATCAGATGCAACAGACATTGCGAAGTACCCAAAATTAATAAAATAGTAACTAACACCATAAAACGTATGGCACGCATAGACTAATAATTGATGCCTGTACTCGCAACTAGTATCGGATTGTCGATGCCACAGTAAAGACCAAAGGAGTGTACGCACGCGCTATGTTCGAGAGCGGAGTTGAATTACCCTGTGAGCAGTCATTTAGTAACTGGACTACAGCCCAGTGGCAGTGCCAGAAAATCTCCAACAAAGAATGACAGGGGATCCAAAGTCTTGAACGAAAGGTCCAAATTTCTTCACTGGTTCACTAGATGCCCAAAAATAAACTCTGAGGCATTTTGGGCATTCAATTATTTCTTTTTCTTTCTTTTTTTTTTGTTATATTACTTTGCAAAAGGGCAATTTCATATTACTTTGCAAAAGGGCAATTTCATAGTGCAGAGTGATTTTTTGTAATTTTTCATACTTATCAAATCCCATCAAGTTTGGTATCAAACTAAAGCGCGCACATGAAAAGGTTTTTCAAACGGTACAACAGTCATTTTACCAGTATAAATTCGTCTTATGATTGGAGAAATGATTCGAAAGTGTTTTGTATCCAGACATTTTTCTTACGTGGGCGGCTGCATCCCGCGAAAAACTTCAGCACAACGAATATTGGCAATAGATGTACTCTCGTTCCAGCAGAACCCGTTACCATCAGTACGTTTAACACAAGAACTCTTAACTCAATAGTATCTGTAAACGAACTCCTTTACCACGCGGTAACACAACAGAATCATATTATATGTATACAAGAGCATAGGCTACTGCATGCACAAGAGGTAAAGTACAATTATCTTGGAAATGGCTGGCAACTGGTAACATCATCAGCAACACAAAACTCACAGGGGGCGGCTATAGGGGGTGTTGGTTTTCTTCTCAGTCCAGCAGCTAGCAAGTCTCTACAGAATGTTAATCATGTAAATCCAAGACTGCTCACAGCCAATTTTGCTGGTGAACCAGCCTGTGACATCATAACTTGTTACAGCCCAACAAGTACAGGAACTAAAGCAGCGGTTAACACATTCTACGAGGGTATACAAATGACTGTGAATGACATTCCAAAACAAAATACTGTAATCATTTGTGGAGATTTTAATGCCAAACTCGGAAAAAATAAATTTGATTGTAATCGAAATGGAGAATTGATGCTTAAGTTTATTAAGTCGAATGACCTAATACCAGTAAATAGGCAATTAGAAAAACCTTTGGATGAGAATTACACATTCGAATCTCCTGGCGGTGGCAGATCCCAGATAGATTTTATTCTTCTTTATGGAAGACACATAAATATTCTTGGAATCGTATATGTCGATGATTCATTTAAATCTGTTGGATCAGATCATAGATTAGTATCTGCGAAATTTACTTTGAATTTTAAGACACATCAGAACTCATCATATGCTAGAAAACATAACTACATGGTGAATGCGAACCATGAATTTGCGAGTAAATATTTAGTCAGATGGAAAAACAATACAAAAGTTCCATATTTAAGCAATGACCCGAATGTTCGTCAAGTAAGAGAACATTTTATGAATAACGGTAAAAAACATAAAGAGGAATTAAAATTTGCATATATAAAAGCTGACGAAAAATAGTACTGTATATAAACCTAATTGTGAAATGTTAATCCATAGAACGAGCATTATTTAAACCATCAAACTCTGTAGTTTATATGCCTTATTATCATAACTCGACGTCGTTTTCAGGATGAAATTGGAAAAGTGTCATTGTAGATAAACTAATTACGGCTCTGTCCAGATTATCACATTTTCTTAAACAAAAAACTGTTGTATGCCCATATATAGGCCTAGTCATGATGTGCCTATATATGGTCATGATGTGATATGACCGTATTTAGCCATGTAACGCGTTTTTTGCTTCTTTTTTATTCAAATAAAGATTTGATAGTCTGGTCAGGGCTTAACAGTTTAATCTGCTGCACTCCGTTCAGACTTGAGAGATACGCCAGGCGTAGCTATGGTCCTGCCACACCTTGACGATTTAGCCAGCGTATGCCGACGTATGAAAAAAATGGCGAATACGCTGGCGTACGTCGAATAAGTTATTGGTTAAGTTTCGTATAAGTTTAGAGCACGCTGAAGCACGCTGGTATACGTCGTAGTACGGCGAATACGTCGAAAAGTTTTGTACATGCACAAAACTTTCCGACGCATGTCAGCGCCGTGGCTCGTACGTTCCGCATATGCGGGCCATAAGTTGTAGGTAAGTTAAGCGATCGTTGACACACGTTACCGTACTTGTAAGTTACTCAAAAAGACAAAACGTAATTATAACCTATGAGTGCTTCGAACTTATCTCCAACGTATATTGACGTATTTGACGTGTTCCAGGCGACCATAAAACTTACTGAACGTGTTCCTAACTTACAGTTATCGTATAATGGCATATTAGCAGCGTTATAGGGGAATAAGTATATTAAAATGGGATGTCAATACGGTGATACAGATACTGCGATGTCTAATGCGGTTATGATTTAAATCGACGACCGAAAGCCTTTTTATAGGCTACGGCAACACGCTAAGCATTCGTTCGTGTAAGTTTTCTATAAATAAGTAATCAAAACGTTCTCTGTTACTAATACGCTATTTATACGTTCAATACGTTATGAATACGCTATGAATGCGCCCAAAGTTGAAAAAAGGCATCGACAATTCAGCGTATGCCAGCGTTTTAGAGAAATCTTGATACGTTTGGCATACGCTGACTAAATCGTCAAGGTGTGACAGGGCCACGTTAAACCGTGGCATAACTAGCGAGATTTGCGATTGATGAACGCTAGCGTAAATATTCGAGCGAAATATTCGTATTCGTAATCGCGCATTTTATTTCCTGTTTACATCTAGGCTAACTGTGATTGGTCAAATCCTGGCCGAGCTCGAAATCATTTATGCATGACTGTCGATAATACTGGCGTTCGAGCACAAGTTCACACCATGCCACTTGATTACGCTAGCGTAAGTCGTTGTGTCTGAACATAGCCTCATAGGCCCCTACTTCTTATACTAGCTATCTATTCACAATAATAAGTAAGAGAGAATTATACAGAAGACATTTAACCACTCGGCGCTATCAATATTAAAATATTAAAAAATACAATCTGTTAATTTAGCTATTAAAATGTTTTTGAAGATCTTTAACGTTTCTGTAAATTCAATATTCATTAATTATCATAATTACATATCATACGAAGTGTAGTGAAGTGTCATAGGCCCATCCTGTCTTTACAGTTTCCCTTTGCTCTCCAAAATTTATACATAATGACATTTAAAAGAAAGGAAAATGACTACTGAGGACAATCTGAATTTGAGCTTATAATAGCTTTAGCTTTAGTGTATTTTCTCTCTGTGACACTTCCAGTGGTACCGGTTAGCCGGTGTAAAAATATTCCGTGGACCTCATCAAAATCATTGTTGAATGAAGTGCAATTGTTTGTAATTTATTATGCAATTGACAGACATAAAGATAAATAATAACAAATATAGAAATAATAAACTTGTATTTTTTATATTTGCATATTTACATCAATTTTGTCATGAATAATATGTTTGCTTTTTAGATAATTTTTGGTTTAATTAAGATGAATATCACTGGACAATCTTAATGTATTTACTGCAAAATTTAAAGAACATTACAAAACCATTATCCTGTCTCTTATACACATCTAGATGTGTATAAGAGACAGCATACGTTGTAGGTAAGTTAAGCGATCGTTGACAAACGCTGACACACGTTACCTGTAAGTTACTCGAAAGTGAAAACATATTTTGTGACCTATGAGTAACGTGCTTCGAACTTATATGTAACTTGTAACGAAACTTCCTAGCCTAATTTTGAGACTGCTATGATGACTGAGATGGACTATGTTGATTTATTAATAATATTTTGTTTGGGATGAAAAAAAAAAGGAGAGTCCATTTCCCCAAAATGCTCCATCAGCACATAGTTTAGTGTGCGCGATGGACAGTAATTTACTAACCACACAATCCACATTTAGGTGATTAAGTCGCAAAACTTTATTTGCATTTGGTGGATTAAGTCGCAAAAAGTTAGCTTCGTTTGGTGGCACCATTTACTCTAGGTAGACGGCGACCGGTTTCGTTACTGGTTGGTACATTTCTTACAAACATTCAGCCATTATCGATGTTTGCCATCCTTATGTGTGCCATCGTAAAGGAATTAATTTAAATCTCCGAACTTCTGAAGCTGACATATCCTATGAATGTAGGCTTGTAATGCAGGCTACAATTTAAAAACGGGTGGGACTCATTCAAAAATTCGAGGGGGTTCGCTAGAAAACAGGGGGGTTCGCTAGAAAAGGGGGGTTCGCCCGAACCATAAAAACCCCCCCTGGCTACGGGCCTGCACAGTCACGCCATTACGTACCTTACATGTCAATCTAGAGGGCCATTATTAGGGGACCAATGCCATCATTGGGGGCCCATGATAGTAATTATTATTTTTGAAAAAAAATATTGAAAAACAAAATGCTGTCTGCAATTTCTATGGGTGCCCTGGTAAGCTTGGGCCCCGAGGATCTTTCCCCCTGCACTCAGTGGTACTGTCTGGCACAACGCTTGCTTTTTACTCATACTATCTATGATGACGTTTCAATAAAAAAAAAAAGTACTTTAAAGGGAAAAACATAAACACAGTGATTGGAGTTTTGTCACCATTGTATCTAATTTTGAATTTATGTCACCATATTAAAAGTTTGAATACCAGGTCTGCAGACTATTTTAAATATAGGATCTGTGGTCATAGCATCTTATTTAGTTACCATTCTTTGAGAAAATGTTTTAAGAAAATCACACTGAAGGATCTGGTCTTAATGAGTAATCAAGTTACTAGCACGAGTCGAATACAATTCAGCTGCAGTTTTTTTTAAATTATTATTATTAGTTTTTATTTATTTAGGCACACAATACATGTGCCAAGGATTGTCATTAGCGAATATATCACTGTCCTACTTGTAGGTGACAATCCCTTACACAAGACAAACATACACACACGATGCTTTTACACAAACTAAATCTCAATAAGAGATTTAGTGAGTGGAGTTGTTTTGGTCGTGAGAAAAAATCATGCAACACTGACAGGAATTGACCTCAGGACCCTGGCATTGGAAGGCAAGCAACTTAACCACCAAGCTATTTAACTCCACTCAAAAAGTTGAACTATAATGAGGTAAATTTACAATGTGTTTTAAGAAGGAATGTAAACAATACTTTTTTTAATAAAAGAGATCCGAATGATCAACTTTTAAATGTTACAGATAACTTCCAGTTGTTTCAAGAACGCTGGAAAGCACTGGTGGTCAGGGTTGTTCAGAACCACCCCGTAAACCTATGAACATTTAGAAATTTAATGCTAATTTAATCGATTTTACCGATATAACAATCTGTAATACATATATTTTTTTTTCTCTTCCTGAGTTTTTTTTTTCTCCGCTAATAAAATCATGCAATCAATGAAGCTCTTTCTATTTTGCGGCATTTTTGCCGCATTTGGTCTCAAGAAAACAACTTTCTTTTCTAGAGGGCGCACTGCACTTTACATTCTACTGGGGTCCTAAGTCCTACATAGTTTCAAAATGTGTAAAAGCTAATTTGCCTGGCCGTAACGTTTGAAAAGTCACGGCCAAACTATATTTGGCCGAATTTGGCCAAACTTTTGAAAAGTTTACATTTTTTTTTTTCAATATAGGCCTAATGTAACGTAGACTTGTTTTGGATAGGCCTATGTTGTTTTTGTAATGCTTAAATTCTATATTTGATTGTACTTGTACTAAACTCTTAATCTATGTTCCCCTTTAGCCGAGTTGACGTAAGAGAGTTTATTTAAAAGACAGCAGTTACCTTTAACACTTTAAGTAGTTGAAATGAAATATATATATATAGATGAAATATAAATAGATCTAAATAAATAGATGAAATATATATATATATATATTTATGAAGTTTATCCTCGTTTTAAAAACTTTATGAAGAGAGTCCAATGCAAGGTACCATATATTGAGTGTCCTTGTATATGTTCCATCCTAGTAGAGGTTCTATCTCTTTTGAATCTCTTTCGATTATAAATTAAATACTGTACTTTAATTTATTTATTATTGCCCACTTGAATTGTATAAGCCTAGGTGCTGCAGTGTTGTTTATGCTCGATGTAATCATTCGGGTCCGATGGCACCTCCAATTTCAAGCAAGTGTTGCAGAGAAAGTTACTATTCGAAGTTACTCTGGAGTTAGGTTGTATATGAGGATGAAGAAGATAATTCTGATAGCAACATTAATTTATTGCTTTAAGTACTGCGACAATAACATTCAGGCGAATTCAGGAAGTTTAGATAAAAAGTATTTACTAAGTTTTAATAGGTTTGTTTTAACGCCAGTTTGTGTTACCGGTACCTAACTATGTAACTTAATTCATTGGTTTGCCAATAACAGGCCCTTAAAATTTTTGCTATAAATCGACTACAATGTACCTTAATATTTAATATATTATATCAAATTTAGATCAATCTTAATAATGTGATTTTAAATAGCAGAGGCGGATTTAGGGGGGGGGGGATGAAAAA